AATTAAACTTCTAGATTCTTTTTTTAAACGAAAATGCGTTTTCCAAAAAATAAAATGAAAATAAATAATTAAAAATCAACAAAATCAGTTATAACGTATTTTAAGACTTTTACATGTTTTTTACTGTATGTAGTTTTTTTGTGGGCTATTTATTGAGAAAACAACATTGAAGTTATTATTTTTGAATTTCTTGTAAAATTTCCTTTACCTGAGTTTTACTTTTATTATTCTAAGTTAAGAGAAAAAAAAGTTATGAGACATAGATCAGTTATTTCTATTAAATTTGACTTTTCGACTCAACTTAATAGGCCCGGGGGCACGGGTTAACCTTAACGGATCGGTCCCAAATTTTGCACAGCTCACTTTTTTGACCATAAAAAAAAAATTAAGGGGTAGCGTAAAGAAAAAAAAGACATTCGATTTTTGAGGGCCACCCTAATATAGATATATGTATATTTATTCAATAAGCTAGATAAAATAAAACTGTGTTTTTTTTTTGTAGTCATTTCAATTTATACAAAAAATGTATTGTACTTTAGTTGAAATAGATTATAAATAACTAGTATTTTTAACATGTAGAACCAGACTCCAATATTTGCGTCTATTTTATTTTTAATACATTTTAACATAATTTTTAAAATTCATTTACACAGATTAACATAAAAAATTGGGTTTAAAAAAACACCTACAATGTTAGCGATTTAGCGAAATATTACAATTTTTAAAACTATTCTATTAAGAAACATTGTATTGATCATTGTTAATTATTGTATTATTTATTTACAGATTGTAATATTATCTATAATAAAAAAATAAAAAACTTAAAACTTTTTTATTGTTCTCAATGTACGTTACAGTGTCCTTTTAAGCGCACGGCCTAATGTAAGGTTATGCCTCACACATCCCTAGTATAAATCCTGCTGTTCCAACTAACCCTAAGAATTTTATCATTATCATTATCATTATTATATAATTAGTATATATAAATAATTCAAACTATTTTAGATTATTAATAATAATAATTATTTATAATACTGATTATAACCAATGTTATAAATATAACCTATGATTTTTATTAATTTAAATGATTGAAAATCATTTATAAACTATTCGCTTGTGATAGTTTGACTATTGATTATAAATGCAGTCTACTTGCAATGACTGATAAATAAGTTCCTGTATAAACATTTGATCGAATTTTTGCTGCTCTTCGAATATACATCAAAATATACTTAATTTTAATCTCTACAACTATTCATAAGCAATTTACTAATATTATTGTAAAGTTAGTGTTTTGAATTCCTTTAGCATAACGAATATAAATTTGTGGCATTTTAAGGTTAAGAAATTTAAATCCCTCCAAAAAGTAGTGAAATATAACATAGTTTAAATATTTAAAGAATAAGATACAGTCATATAATGAATTCTTTCAAACTATAACCAAATTAATGTTATAAATTATTTATTGACACAGATTTTTTAAAGTAATTCTAGAAAAAATACAATTCGTACAGCTATATAGTTGTATTATTAATGTATTTGACGAACATTTTCGTCGAATAAATTACTAAAAATATAAAATCGCTAAACATTTAAAAAAAATTAATCTACTGAGAAAAATTTCAAAATAATCTAAAAAAAATTGGTTCTATTCTTTTATGAAAATGTCTTATTTTTTCAATAAATCAAAAATTTTTATAAGCTAAATATTTAAAGTTTTGTTTTTTAATTCTTAAGAAAATTAAAATTTCTCCCAGTCATTATGGACTTATTAGTTTATGTCCTCCCGTTTAGTATTCAATTAATTAATCGAACTATTTCAAAGAATTCGATTTAATTGTATTATATAGTTTTTAACGGCAATAGATGCAAGACAAGGCACTCATAATGGTTTCACCTCACGGTCCATTGTTCCCTTCAATGTACATGCCTTATCGAAAACACAAAAGAAGATCGTGACTAATCTGAAGCGCAGGTTAACTTAACATCGAGTTTATTCATTCATTTCAAACAATACTTTATTTTAACGACTTGTCGGAAATTGAGCTACAAAAAAAATCGTATTTTACTTAAAGTTCGAATGTAGTACAACTTTGCATAATACCGCATTTTGACAAACTTATAATGAATATTTATAGACTTTTTTCACCC